GCTCAGAGAAAATGACTCGAACCCATGACTCCAATCGAAGGTTGGCAGGCCAAGGCAAGAGCTCGGCACACTGGGTCAACGACACCACGTGAGCATCCCTGTTCTTGCCACAGGGCTCCTGGTCGCTCTCGCACTCTTCATGAACCTCAACGCGCTTGGGATTCGTACGCCTTGGTGTAGAGCGTCGCGGTTCACGCAAATGCGTTGCTTGGCGCAGACGATGGCGAGGGGCGTCGGTTTGACGGACAGAGCGACGTTCAATTGGACCCCACTCCGGCGACGTCACAGCCGACTCCAACCGAATCCATGACGTCCTGTCGTAGGTTACGATGGCAAGTCAAGAGGTCGGCACACTGGGCCACCGCCCCCGTTCTTGCCCCAGAGCCGTCGCCCGCTCCTTGCCTTGGTGCTTCCGGTGGTCCCCCCCCCCACGCAACGTGACATTGTCGCAGCCGTTCCATCCGTCGTCTACGCGAATGCCATTTTATCGCATTGTTGTGTGTCTGTGTACGAGAACAGCCGGGACAGCACAAAGTCGTACTGTGTCCGCGAAGCCTGCGTCGGCCTCGTCGACATCTTCGTATGGGCCTGCTTCTGTGTGGCCGTCGAGGGACCCCCCTCCGTGCTTCGGGTGAGTCGGAATCGTGCACAGGGCATCTGATCATCGTCGCGTTTCAGCGCACGACCATCGCGTTGTCGAGTGTGGCTACCTTCTTCAGGAGAAGCTCCGGCGTTTTCTTCATCGATTGCACCGTGTACTCGTTGCTTGTGGTCGCGCGTATTCGTCGTGGAGTTGGTCAGCCTCGTGGTTCGGGTCGCTGGACGGATCTACGTCCACCACAAGGTCAAGTGTGCTTTGGCAGGTGGACAAAGAAGTCGCAAGGGCTCCACCAGCACGTATTCGAGGTCAAGGTGGTGCCAGCGAAGCATGTAGGTGGAATCGCCGAAGTTTTGACGGGTCCCAGCCGCGCGAGTTGGATGGACCTTTGGCGGATCTGGCTATACCTTGTCGCGCATGACAGTGTCTTCGGTAGTGTGCAGCTTCAGGCCACCTTGCCCCACTTATTCGTACCGCTGTGGCATGGCTCAGCACCGCCGACCAGGACAACAGCGAATGCGTTTGGGTGGTGCTGGCACTCGACGAGGAAGCTGGCGCGCTCCACGTGCAGTGCAAGGAATTCCAAATTGGGTCCCGGCATCCAGACAACTGCTTCAAAACTCTCTTTCACATAGTTCGCGCCAACGACACATACGCAGGGGCACTAGCAGATTCAAAGACGTCGATACAACCCAGTGGTGGGTTCCTCATGGTAGTCTTCACGTGCTCTGGATGACAGCAGGTCGGCGATATTGCCACAGGCGAGGCCAGCGCGCGGAATTGGGTTGTCGCAGCCTCGAGAATATCCTTCAAGAGCACCAAGCTGTTGAAATCACGATGGAGGAAGGTCGAGCCGTAAGTACGTCGCGTGGGTG